CTCAGAAAGGAGATGTGTACAGTTTTGCAATAGTTCTACAAGAAATAACAACCAGAGAAAGACCTTTCGAGTGTGGAACAACAAAGAGATTAAACCTTACACCAACAAGTAAGTAATTCAAAAACAAAAGTTTTTGTTTTTTAAATAATACAAAAAAGAAATACACTGAATACACTCCAGCAAAGTTGATGTTTGGTCGGGAACTTCGGTTGCCAGTGGATCTGTTAACAGGACGCCCACCTTATGAAGAGTTGCCTGAAAATGTGTCAGAGTTTGTGAAAGTGTTATTGGAAAGGACGGATGATATTCACCATCAAGTGTGTTCAAACTTGAAAACGTCTGTTGATTCCTTGAAGCTATGTTATGATAAGAGATCTACTGAAGTCAGCTTTGTACCAGGAGACAAGGTGTGGTTGTATAATCCCAGGAAGACAAAAGGAAAGTCTCCTAAGTTGTCTTCTCCATGGGAAGGCCCATATGACATAGTGGATCGTCTCTCAGACGTGACTTCTGAATAAAATGTGGTCGGCGAGGTAAGCCAAAGGTGCTGCATGCCAATAGGCTTTGGCGTTATCACGGTCCAGGACATTTCAGTTGGGACGAAGTTTAAAATGGAACAAAAGACGCTGCTGAAGACGTGTCACCTGGAAAAGCCACTGTCAAAGAAGAAACTCTACTCTGTTTTGAGAAGAGAAACAGTAAAGCCCTTGATGAAATTACTACCACTGATGTGACTATTACCGATAATAGGACATTCCCTGATGGAGCAGATGAACTTTACGAGAAGCAAAAGCCAATGAGACAGAGACCAGTATGGAAGAAGATACGTCCTGTAAAATTAAGAGACTTTGTTTAATTTTAATTTTGTGTTTGTAAATTCTGTACATTTAATTAAGTTATTGTTAATTATCTATTGGTTTAACTTAAGTGGCTATTGTTCGGAACGAACAATACTAAGGAAGGAGCAGTGTTACGTCAGCGGAAGTCACGTGATCTGGTAACACGTAATGAGTATCTCGAAGGTTCCTGAAGGCTCGAGTGTTTGGCAGACATTTTGTATATATAAGACCGGCAAGAGGGGACGATATGGAGAATTACAGATAAAGAGATAGAGACAGATAACTGAATCAAGTGAGCAATAGTGACCGTAAGTAAAGTGCGTGAACCGTTGTGAATTCTAGCGTGTTTTATGTGAAAGTGACCGTGGAAATTCTATGTATTGAAAAGTTGTATTGAGAAAGAATAAACTAGTTTTATTTAAGAAAGGACTTGTATCGCTGAAGTTCCTCGGGAAGAATTTTTACGGAAATTAACAAACGACCAGAGACGTAACAATACTAAACAGATACAATGATTGTATAATTAGAATTGTGTATTAAAAGTGTAAAGAACTTATAAGGCGAATATGAATTTTACAGCCTATTTATTAGTCAAAAGACATTGCCTTATAATAGGGCCAATACTGTAATATGTTTTATATAACTGTAAGTAATTTAATTCATTAATTCTAACGTTTTGATATATTACAACGTGGATACATTTGTATAGTTTGGAGAGGATTCGAAATATCCTATAGAAATAAAAACACTTATCGTGAAACATCCTTTCATCTGGAACTACTAATGTTTTTAAACATTCATCATTTGTACTTTCAGTCAAGTTTTGACCAACTAACACAATGTTTCAAAACAAAAGTTCTTAGGTTTTCTTTCTTTCAGCAATTATTGAGAATCTTAAAAGAAAAATGGACCCACCCTTTCGTCCTCAACTTTCCATCTCAGACTGTCCATTAGACCTTCTTCAAATCTTACAAATATGCTGGGAAGAAGAACCTGAGAATAGACCACTCTTCCCGGCCCTGAAGCAAAAGCTGAAGACGGTGACGGGGTATGATACCATAAAATCACAAATTATTTGTGGAAGAGCTAATCAGAAACTAAAACTCGTTAAAAGTGTTAAATCTTTTTTTTATTATTACTCATTACGAAAACAATGATTTGATGTATAACTTGACAGGTTATACAGTAGCATCAAGTAAGAGTATTATTATTTTGAAAATATTTCTTTTGAGAAACTTTAAATGTACTGCATTTATTTAAGTTTTTAAATATTTGTTAATTATTCATTGACCTATCGGTGTTACAAAATTACAAAATAATTAGACTATGTGAAAAAATCGTTTTGTAGCAAAAAGTTTAAAAGACGTAAAATGAACCAAACCTCTTTTATTTAATATTTTACAAATTACTAGGCAAATTTTTACCTTTTTCTCTCGGTAGGAAACTTACTTCCTTAAAAGGTGGTCGAAGGTCCCCTTTCGGGGTCACCTGTTTTAACCTCTCATACTAGTATACTACTGTATAGTAGTCAGTCAGTCAGTAGACACTAAAATGACGTCACATAAGGGACACTTAACGTTGTTACATAACATTAAGTTGTTTATCTTTAACAACTCCGTAAGTTTTATTTTTCAACATGGTTCTAGAGTCATTTGTTAATACTAAAACATAAAAAGCTAATGAACAATTCGATGTCAGAATAGACAGTGACAAAAAATAAATAGTTATAGATGCCAGAAATCATACGTAAAACGAGAATATTTTGTAAAACTTTCAAATACGTTGTAAACATTTGGAGTAGTAAGCCGAAGAAAATAACCAAAGCTTTTGAAAATGAGGGTACGAAGCTGAGTGCTTACACCCACAATGTTTCAACGTCTAATGCCTTTCTCTGTCTACAGCCAGTTGTGGGATTAATGATTTTTCTTAAATTAATTTACATGACGGCTGACTAGATTGACATCGGCGTTTGGATATTGTTTGATAGATGGGATTTTCCCAACGCATTTAGGTGCTATTACCACAGACATTATCCGTTATGACAATAAGTTGACAACCATGACCGATAACGGTATTGCAATATTTAATTCATTATTGTTTTATACTGTTGATTTAATCGCCTATAAACAATTAATGTAATCAATAGTTTGTAAGCTATTTATTTATATATATAATAGGTTTGTTCATTCACACAGTTACACAATGGTATATCTGTGCTCTGCCTACCAACGGTATCGAAAACCTGTTTCTAGCGTTGTAAGTTCGCATATATAATATGGAAATTAAAAATTCGCTTTTTGGTGTAATCGCTGAAGAGTTATTGATGAAAGTCGTTTTCACACTTTTGCTTTTAGATGGTTAAGCAACAAAAATTTAATGGACAACTTGTTGTCTCGAATGGAAAAGTACGCGAACAACCTTGAAAAGTTGGTTGAAGAAAAGACGTCAGCTCTTATGGAGGAGAAAAAGAAGAGCGACGAACTATTGTACCAACTATTACCTAGGTAACAATAATTAATTCTATTACCAATGTAAAAATAATTAATTCTATTACCAAAGTAAAAATAATTAATTCTATTACCAATGTAAAAGTAATTAATTATACTACCAAAGTAAAAATAATTAATTCTAGTACCAAGGTAAAAATAATTAATTATATTACCAAGGTAAAAATAATTAATTCTGTTACCAAGGTAAAAATAATTAATTCTATTACCAAGGTAAATAATTACTTCTTTTAACTAGGTAACAATAATTAATTCTATTACTAAGGTAAATAATTACTTCTTTTACCTAGGTAAAAATAATTAATTCTATTACCAAGGTAAAAATAATTAATTCTAGTACCAAGGTAAAAATAATTAATTCTAGTACCAAGGTAAAAATAATTAATTCTATTACCAAGGTAAAAATGATTAATTCTGAAATTTCAAACTGTTTGTTGTATGTTATATTTAACCAGAGAATGTATTAAAACGTTGTATGTCTAATTTGTTAAAAATGTTAACGGTGACATTATTTCCACGACAACACTGAGATTACAAGTTCACATTTGTTTGGATTGTACTTTAATGACAATATCTATATATAATATGGAATTATATTCTGGATGTGTGGGTGTGCCTTTCACGCCCACAGATTTTGAACGATCTCAGCCAAACTTGAATACTTGGATATTTCTGAGAAGGTGTATTCATCGTTAATTATAATGTACTATTCATAAAGATTTCTAAACTATTGTCACTGAATTAGGGAATTCTTGAATAAGCGTTGTTCCGTAAGACGAAACCATGCCCAAAATAAACTAGAAAAAGTTTTTATTTAGACATGTCAATGTATTTTTTGTTATCATTTATCCAAATTGATTAGGGAAACTGCGATTTTCATTTAGCAGTTCTATTATGTATGGTTTTATTTTACTTGTTTCATCATAGCTTCTTTCATATATTTATATTCTTAATAGTTTTATGTTAATTGATACCTCAGGTACATCGCTAACCAGCTGATATCCGGAAATCGTGTTATTCCGGAAGCTTTTGATTGTGTGACCATCTTATTTAGTGATATTGTCGGCTTCACAGCATTGTCTGCCAAATCTATGCCAATGGAGGTAGGAAAAAAGCTATTTTAATTAACATATGGTTGTTTGAGTCGTTGTGGAAAGGTGCTAAACCATATTTGTGTCTGACTATAAAATTGGCGTCTTAAGCGGAAGTATTATAAAATTGGCGTCTTAAGCGGAAGTATTATAGATTATAACTAGCTTCTTACTTAAGTTATGAAACAATCTTCGTTCTTTAATTCACAGTCATGCGTAGCAAACGGATAGGAGGAAGGTAACTTGATGGTTTCAATGAAAATTATTGTAGAATTGTGGAGTATTTAGAGTAAATATATTAAAAAAAACCCGATGAAGGAATTTTTAAAAAGTTTTTTTTGTTACCTCACATTGTGTTTACAATCCATAAATGAATAATTTATTGTTTATTAACCTATACAATATTCTTTAAATAAGTTTTATGCCTAATATTGTTGAAAGTCTAATTAAGATTTGCACTGTTCTAAGAAAATACTTCTCGAAAATTTTCTCAAATTTATAATATTATTTGTGAAAATAAAATGTTAGATTTAAGACATTATTTAAGAAAAGTACGTGTGAAAAAAAGAAGAATGATAAGTTAAACACCTGTTTGATTATTATAATTAGTTTTGTGTGTTTGTTTGTTTTTAATTTCGCGCAAAGCTACACGAGGACTATCTGCACTAGCCGTCCCTAATTCAGTAGTGTAAGACTAGAGGGAAGGTAGCTAGTCATAACCACCCACCGCCAACTCTTGGGTTACTCTTTTACCAACGAATAGTGGGATTGACCGTCACATTATAACGCCCCCAAGGCTGAAAGGGCGATCATGTTTGGGGTGACGGCGATTCGAACCCACGACCTACAGACTGCGAGTCGAGCGCCCTAACCATCTGGCCATGCCGGGCCGATTAGTTTTGTGCACATTTACCGAAATCAAACTAACATTATTTGAACATCTCAGCAGATACAAAGAATTTTCGTAGTGTATATTAAATTCAAGAGATGGCGATTGTGCTGTTTAGTTTTGTTTATAATAGTGCTTTAAAATGTCCCGAGTTATGATAATCAAACTAACATCATTTGAACATCTCAGCAGATACAAAGAATTTTCTTAGTGTATGCTAAATTCAAGAGATGGCGATGGTGTTGTTTAGTTTTGTTTATAATAGTGCTTTAAAGTGTCCCGAGTTAAGATAATAAAGTTTAGATTTTTGTCCAATAAATTTGCATATCATATTTAGATCCTCTTCTTCTTATGAACAGGTGGTAGATCTCTTGAACGACCTTTACTCCTGTTTTGATGCCATTCTTGCTGAATACGACGTGTACAAGGTATTGGTTAATTTATTACACTAAACGGATGTTGCTCCATATGTTTTTTATGTTATTCCTACTATTAAAAACTTGCTTTGCCCGATTTATGGAATCACATATATTGAGAACATAAAGGAAAAAGTATAAAAACATCTGTTCTTAGATTTTTATTTAAGATATTATATTTTTATTTTATCTTCCTAGTGTTTGCTCTAGGTTTTCGGTTGTAACTGATCAATATTTTCATGTACGGTTTATTTCTATTTAAATATTTGGTAAGCTACGCATTCCGTATCATTCTAAGACTTTTAAGTGCAGTTGAAGACGTCTAATCAGCCAAAATCTGTCTGATTTTGAATCAGTAAATCAGAACTTATATTTCTTTATATTATGATTGTTACAACAGTGGTAGTTACTTAGTGTTCTTTATGTATACAGCTACTATGTGACGTTTTCTGTATCAATCATAGAATAATCTTTTGTTTTTTGTTGTTCTTACAGTTTAAAAGCATGATAGCAGGAAGCAACTTTAAGTTACTTTTCCAAAAATTCCTGTTTGCTATAATTGTTTGTTTGTTTTTAATTATGCAC